TGATCATTCTTAAGGATAGCATCATGTTGAAGTACATGATGCATTACATTGATTTTGATTGAATTAAGGCATCGCACATCTTGATGAGCTTCTTTATGCATGAATTAATAAAAGTGATTTCTTGTCTTGGAAGGAAAAGTTTTTGAAAAATGTTGAGCATTGTAGTGAGTGTTCTGAAAAACTAAGTTACATTCTGTTTTGCATGAGGATAAGCAAAGTTCTAAGTTTGGGGTTGTGATAACGATTTAAAATACCGTTATCTGTGATGTAATTTTGATACTAAATGCACCCCTTTTGACTTAGAAACTTGCTTTAACTCATGTTTTTGCTTTAGTTTTATGAGTAAGAGAGTTGAGGTTGAATTTGATGATTTTATGATTAATTCCCTTTGTTTTGATAGAAAATGAGTTATACAGGAAGCAGAGATAGAAGTGGCTAAGGAGTTAGAGCTAGAAAGGCATGAAAAGCATGAAGGAAGGACAGTGCGAAGCTGGGCGCCCTGTAGAGAAGCTCAGGCGCAGAAAATCGACGTTCGCCGCCCAGGCACCCTCCTAGGCCGCCCGTGCGTCGAACTCGAAGCCTGGGGTGTCCACTAGAGGCTCAAGCCCTACGTAAATCGACGTCCACCGCCCAGCGCCCTAAATGTGGCTCCTTGCTCGTGTTTCGCGGGTTCAAGCCGTCCATCTCAGTATCATTTAAACACATCGTCAATCTTTGTGTTACTCTTACTATTTGAATCAATTTTTGCATTCATATTTAATTTTATGTCTTTGCATTTGAAACCAACAATCTCGTTTTATTTAAGTCTTAATTAATTGAGTTATCACACAATTGTTTAGTGCAGAGAGTCTTCAGGAATACGATACTTGGTCTTACCATTTTATATTACTAATGCGATTCGGTACACTTGACGATCCATCAACAAGTTTTTGGTTTCGTTTCTAGAGATCAAAAATATTGTTAACAGGCAACGTTCGTGAGCTAACTTCAAAAGTTTCATCGACTTTCGTGATGGCTCAAACCCTTTTGTTCATCTTCTCTCACATAATAAAAATGCATTACCCAAGGCCATCGATTCACCTCAACCTCCGTTCAAAACTCCAACTCACCAACAACATCGTGATTCAAATGTTATTAGAAACACCTTGGCTTCATCGTTCTTCCTTGCATTATGATTTTCTATTCTTTCCTATTTTTTCTTTGCAAGGATTTAAGTTTTTCTAGTTTTAATATGTTGTGAATGGGTTTTGGGTATTGTGACGATGGATATCAAAAGGGGAGGGAGATTCAAAATGGTGATGGGTGAACAGATGAATTCCTCAAGTGAAGGTCTGTAAACGTGACTGTGAGTGAAGAGGGAGATTGGAACGACTCTAGGTGTGGTCTTTGTATCAGTTTGGGCACGGGATGAAGATGAAAAATTGATGGATTCAAAACTTTTGGAAGAGATGGAAATAAGGTAATAGGCAGTCGTTTTATGAGGTTGATGAAGGAGGCTAAAACTTGTTATGCAAACATGTTGAAACGTGGGTGCTCTAATGGTGAATGAGAGGTAAATGGAGCTCTGTGTAGTGATTATTCCTCGTTGATTATTTTATTTTGATTATTACATTATGTTTTTGATATTTAATTGCAAATTATGCCAGTTCATACCAAGGATGAAGAACATAAGCAATTACATTCTATAGAATCGCTTAATCAAAGACTGGTTGCCTAGAAAAATCGGTTCTTTAAGTGGTTGGCTTTTCCTATGATACAAACACAAGTGAAAAAGATTAAAGAATCTTCAATATTTGGTAATTAGAAAGTATATGGTGAACAATTTTCTCATTCTTTTTCATGTCTAAACCTACTTATTATTACTACTTTTAGCTGATAAATAACCTCTGCCAACATTTGTTTTTAAAGTGTTCATTAGGTTGCATGTCCTTATTTGCTTTTGCATATTCAAGATTCGGATTTGTCACTTTGTGACTGGATTAATATATGTCTACCATTTAGTGTTTAATTTATTTTATCTCACTTAAAGGTTATCTTTCTTGTATTTGTACAAAAGGAAAATGTGAAAAATCAAAAGGAGCACTTAATTCTTTTGCTTACGAATGTACATATACGGCATGTTTCAAAACCTGATCAACAACCTAAGCTTTGATTTTATCTATTACTATGGCTTATGGCTTTATCATCTTATATAAACATATGTTTCCCCCTTTAGTTTTTTACATACAACACTTTCTTGTTTAGTTGGACGATCTGCTTTACATGAAGTGATGAAGAAACTCTTCATAAACTACAAAAAATGGTGCAAGTATTTAGGTAGCAAAAGTAGCCTATGGTGAGATTTGCATTTCTCAATTAGTAGTTGCTTCAAATACTAGTTTATTTGAGTGCAAAATTGAAATTTATGGTCTTATAAGTACCTAGTGAAGGTAGAGATCAATCTACGTTCAGACCTCAAGTCTGTTGGCATTGTTAAAATCATCATATTATTTAACTTCATTCTTTTTTGTAGATATTTAATAATTTATCCCAATTGAAAGGTAGAGAGATGAATTAAAAGCAAGTGAGTTTTCTTTTGAGTGTTCGTCATAACTTGTAAATATCTTAGGTTTATAGTACTTTACCATCTTTTGAAAACTATTTGTAAAAGTTATAAAGGTTGTATGTTTATGTATATATAATTTCATGTTTTAAAGTTTGTTAGACAACTTAATGTATGAATTCATTTGCTTAGGAATTGTTTTGTCTAGTAATATGAATTGTTTGAGATTTGCAAGTAAGTTGAATGGACAGAAAAATGATAAAACAAAATGAATCTAAAAAAAATCTAACTTACTATAACAGGTATCCAAGTACATGTTACTGAACTTATTATGATAGGTCTCAAAATACCTGTTATAATAAACTACACTTACTATGACAAGTTTTCAAAAATCTTTTATAATAAGTTGGACTTATTATGATAGTTACTCATTTATTAATCATAGTAAATTTAATTTACTATGACAAATTTTCACAACGTTATTAAAAGATTGAACTTTCTATAACTTTTCAACTATAACGCCATAATAACTATCATAAAAAAGTTGTCATAAAAGGTCATGTTTATAATAGTGTAAGTTTAATTTTGTCTATACTAAAAGATAACGAGGTCAACATGATAAGACTGACATGGTATTGTCCTTTATAGGCCAACATGATCTCATCTCTTATAGAGGACAATATAAGATAGTTAAAAATGTATATAAGCTACTATACATATTGGACAAAGATGATCTCAAAAATACTTAATCGAGATGATCTTGATCCTAAAAAATTTAATCGTCATGATTTTAGGATGTCACTACATAATATGTAGATGAGAATATTGAAATGATACATATTATAAAATATAAAATATAAGGTGTATTTAATTCTTAGTATTTATCGTAGAATAAAGCGGTGAGTGAAAAGTGTAGATTTTAGAGTGAGGTGGTTGGAGAAATTTGAGAAAAAGAGTCAAACTCATAAATGTTTAGTCGTTTGTGAATGACCATTGTTTTGAAACTCCTGATTATTTGGTTTTCAGTGCTTGCAAATTGCAATTCCACACATTTAATTTGAGTTTCAATTTTCCATGTTTTTCAAACCAGTGTCGCAGTAAATATCAACAACTTCATAAATTTCAAGTCAATTTTCTACAATAAAATGAACTTTCTCTTGTAATCATGTATTACTCCGCTATTAATTCACTAAGCGCAACTTTAAAACTCTTCCTCATTTTCCTCACTCAAATAAAAATTTAATTTATAAATATATATATATATACTTAAATAAGTTTTTATTCTTAATCTAATATCCATTTGTACTTTAAATATACAACATCTTTTCTAATTAAGTATTTAACAACTTAAATACTTTTATTTATTTTTTTACTTTACTTACTTTATTTTTATTATTTACTTATCAAGTTATTTATAATATTTATGATGCTGAAAAATATATGCATTAAAGTATTTTTATTATTTGTCTCAACAATATACATTATCACATTATGAAAATAAATTAGTTGTTATGATATAAAAACTAAATAATTAACAAGTATTTTTAAATCAGTTAATAATATAAATATGTTCATTTTATATATTTAAATTTAAATATCATAATGTATTAAATTTTCAATTTAGAAAAGTAATTTGTTACGTATTTAAATCAAAAATTGATAATTTGATATGATACGTGTGTGTGTGTATATATATTTCACAGGTTTAATAAACATCTAATGATTTTATTGTATTTTCTTAAGAAAAGAAATCAATGTGCCGTAAAAAAAATCAATGATGAATATCAAGTTGGATGTCTGATATTAAATTTTCGAAGTAGTGATTCCATTTAACCAAATTCAAAAACATATATTTTTATATTTGTATTTAATAAAAATAAGTACTAAAGTTTAATTTTTAATTTTATATATAGAGAGAGAAAGAGAGAGAGAGAGTTTAATCACGTACGTTATGGAGTAGTTACACTACAAAAATATGTAATTTTACCGGGGGTTTTTTTCAATATTACCGGCGGTTTTAACCCCCGCAAATCACATTTCCCGCGGTTGGACCAACCGTTGGGAACACGGCCGTCGCCAAGTAAGTACCGGCGGTTCTGGAAAAAACCGCCGGTACTAGCGGGGGTTTCCGGAAACCGCCGGAATTACCAGAGGTTTTGTCGAAACCGCCGGAATTAGCGGGGGTTCTGTGAAAACCGCCGGGAATTACGGGGTTACTCAAAAACCGCCGGAACTAGCTAGGGTTATCTCAAAACCGTCCCTATTTTGCATGTGTAGTTTACTGGGGTTAAAACCGCCGAGAATTTATACAGTTCATTCTTTTTTTATTGTGATAAAATTAGATTATGATAAAAATGATTTTATTGACAAAACAAACAATAAATTAATATGAACTAAAATTGAATAATATTGTATAAAATAAACTATATTGTTCAACCTAATATCATTCATACAACTAATTGTTCATGCATAAAAATTAAAAATAAAGATGTTCATTACATATGTTCAATATAGATGTTCAATACAAATGTTCAATACTAAAAGTATGACTCATAAAAATATTCAATAACAATATCTAATTTTCTTCTTCATTACATCTATTGTTTGGCCCACTCCCTTGATCAGATACCTACAATATAACATAATAGTTAGTCGATAATATATTTAATTAAAAAAATCATACAAATAAATTTAATAATTATTACCGATGATCGTTGAAATACTACAAACTGTGAAGGCAATGAACCTTGATGATTTTGCAACAAAAGTGTCATCATTGCCTTCATTTCATTGACTTGTGATGTCAATGAAGATACCTATAACAGAAATATTTATTTAAAAAGTGAGAAATATGATACCTAACATGTTAATCTTAAAAGGAATAAACCAAGTAAATATTCATTAACCTGAGATTCTAATTTAACATTAGAAGAAGTCAATGAAGATACCTATAACAAAAAAATTTATTTAAAAAGTGAGAAATATGATACCTAACATGTTAATCTTACAGGGAACAAACCAAATAAATATTTAAATATTCATTAACCTGAGCTTGTAATTCAACATTAGAAGGAGTAGATGAAGATGATCCAAAATGAGAACGAGCATGGACTCCAAAGACTTTAGATGGGCAAGGACCCAAACCTAGACCGCGAACACGACCACAATGCTCTTGGCTTCCTAAAACATGAGCTAATGAATCTAAACTTGATATTTCTTTTGATTGAGACGATATTGTAGATTCATATGTTTGAATTTTTTCCTACATACAACATAATCAATGATGCCAACATTAAAAACATTGCATTTGTATAAAGAGACAAACTATTAAGTTGGCAGTAGTATACTTATATTTAAACTTAAGATGTGTGCAAAAACAGTAGCAAAAACAGTAGTATACTTTCACTATCTTCAAAATCTGATCTTTGGGTTATTATATTTTCCAGGGTCAAAAGTGCAAAGTCTATACTTGGGTTATGAGATTTCATCCCGCCTAACCCAAAACCAACAATAGTCCATACATCATTATTCAGGACCAAATCTATCCCTCTCACTCTGATACAATAATTCCATCTTCTAATCTAGCATTCGCATATAAACCTTTAACTAAGTCAGGATACAAGGTACTAGTCATTTGAAGAAAGTTGTATAACCAGTAAAAGGATTTAGATTTTTATTCTGATATCTTAAAAACTAAAAACAAGTATTTAGATTTTTACCTGTAAACGGATTGGAAATAGGTGTTGTAAGAAGACTAATGAATAATGAATAATAAATAGAAATACATGTATTATAATTAGGATTGATTAATGAAATGAAAGTGTGAGATTTATATGTAAGTATAGAAAATGGGAAATAAGAGTAATTAAATGGATGTGTGTGTGAGAATGGAGAAAGAGAAGATTAGATCTAATCTTCTCTTTCATTTCTTGGACTTGAGATGTACAGAAATAATTTATCCACTTTTATGGCAAAAAGGAGACACTATGATTGTTAAACTCCTTGTACGTCAGTCAAAATCCAAACAAAATAATGGCCTTGTATCCTCCAGCAAGGGGAGAGAGGACACCAAGATCTGTATGCAGTACGAAGAAATAGGGCAAGATAGTGAAGAGAGTGGGTGGCATAATTTGAACAAGTGGAGCAAATATATGTGAACCAAGATTGGACAGCGATGCCAGCACACAAATTTCCATGATAACATCTTAAATAGACTGAATTATCACTGTCATAAATATTCAACAATATATTATTCTGCAAAATAAAAACCTTCTACTACTTAGATCTTTGACCAATAATGTATAAAACAAGAGGGGTAAATAATAATGGATCTATGGGATGAAATATCTCTGCTGTTGAGATTATCTACCAAGGGTTGAACCGACCAGGGCTTCATATTGTAGTGATTTTTGTGCATGATAAAGCCAAAACTTTGACATGAATCTAAGACAAAGTCCGTGGTTGGACAAAACCAAGTTCCAAGCCAGCTTCAATTTTCAGTGATCCTCATATGCAAGCCACTTGGAAGAATGTCCATATTTATAATATATTTCATTAATTCCACCATATAATATTAAATGTCGTAACAAGGACATACTGTTAAACACGGGAATCCCACCCCCCATCCGATAAAACTACAACAATCAATAATTAAAAGCACTAGTTTATCAAGGTAACAATTCAAAATCCTCTCACTATATACCTACCATGCTCTGCTAACTTTTCCAACCATTTAAATCCTATGTTGTACTCTCGTGTTTCTCTAATCAAACCCTTTTCTTTTTCTTTTATCCTTCGACCTTTCTTCCAACTTCCAAACTTTTCAACCAAATGGCAGTTGATCTTTGCTCAGAAAACTGTGGAGTTTCTTCCTCTTCTGTGAGTCCTAGAATCTCATTCTCACACGATTTTTCCCACTCCGATGTCATTCCCGTTGAGCAACTCCCTTTTAGAACAAACTCCTCTGGTTTGATCTCATTCTCACACGATTTTTATTTCTTCATCCTTCTCCTATAACTTCATCACTATGATTTTCGTTGTCTGTAATGGTGTTGGTAGTTGTATATCACTACTTTTGTATTCAATTGTCTCTGTTGGTGTTTTAATGAAATCAATCATTTTCATTTTAGGATAAATGAATATTAGATTCTTAAAATTTAGAAGAACAGAGAATATACATCACAGAGTGGAGAAGTTCAGTACATAAAAACACTCCTGTTAAAATAAGAAAATGTTAACTGTATGTTAATTTTTGCTAGTTGTGTGAGTTGTATGCTTTAGTGGCTTTCCCGTTCATAGGCAGTTGTCATTTATGGATCATAGCTCCCTAAAATTCTACATATACATGCATAGAGGAAGGGTGTGAATTATCCCCTGAAAAACATATTTTTCCCTTTGTTTAACATTAAGTTGGTTTCAAAGCAAGTACACCCTAGTCTACCTGTCTTAGCCATCTCAGAAATGAAAAACCACAAAGATTGAGTTTTATTTTGTTGCTCACACTTAGACTTTTTTAATTCTGTTAGAAGGTTGAGTGCCTCATTAATTATAATCCAAATAGTAATAAACTCTTGAATGGTTGTTCATACCAACACCACCTAACTAACCACTCAGTATCCTAACTACCTTTGCTCTAAGTTAGAATGTAGTGTGTACCAACTATGATGGTCTGGTGGACACAGCATCATCAACATGTCCACTCCACTCCCATCTGATATGCTTCCAACAAGCAGTAAAGGCAGTTCCGCAAAGTGTGTGTGCGTTTCATATCTCATGACTACATATCTTAAGTGGAATGTAATTTAATAAATTTCTTCAATATAATATTTTCTACTTAAAGAAAATCTAATAGCANCTTAGTATTTATCGTAGAATAAAGCGGTGAGTGAAAAGTGTAGATTTTAGAGTGAGGTGGTTGGAGAAATTTGAGAAAAAGAGTCAAACTCATAAATGTTTAGTCGTTTGTGAATGACCATTATTTTGAAACTCCTGATTATTTGGTTTTCAGTGCTTGCAAATTGCAATTCCACACATTTAATTTGAGTTTCAATTTTCCATGTTTTTCAAACCAGTGTCGCAGTAAATATCAACAACTTCATAAATTTCAAGTCAATTTTCTACAATAAAATGAACTTTCTCTTGTAATCATGTATTACTCCGCTATTAATTCACTAAGCGCAACTTTAAAACTCTTCCTCATTTTCCTCACTCAAATAAAAATTTAATTTATAAATATATATATATACTTAAATAAGTTTTTATTCTTAATCTAATATCCATTTGTACTTTAAATATACAACATCTTTTCTAATTAAGTATTTAACAACTTAAATACTTTTATTTATTTTTTTACTTTACTTACTTTATTTTTATTATTTACTTATCAAGTTATTTATAATATTTATGATGCTGAAAAATATATGCATTAAAGTATTTTTATTATTTGTCTCAACAATATACATTATCACATTATGAAAATAAATTAGTTGTTATGATATAAAAACTAAATAATTAACAAGTATTTTTAAATCAGTTAATAATATAAATATGTTCATTTTATATATTTAAATTTAAATATCATAATGTATTAAATTTTCAATTTAGAAAAGTAATTTGTTACGTATTTAAATCAAAAATTGATAATATGATATGATACGTGTGTGTGTGTATATATATATATTTCACAGGTTTAATAAACATCTAATGATTTTATTGTATTTTCTTAAGAAAAGAAATCAATGTGCCGTAAAAAAAATCAATGATGAATATCAAGTTGGATGTCTGATATTAAATTTTCGAAGTAGTGATTCCATTTAACCAAATTCAAAAACATATATTTTTATATTTGTATTTAATAAAAATAAGTACTAAAGTTTAATTTTTAATTTTATATATAGAGAGAGAAAGAGAGAGAGAGAGTTTAATCACGTACGTTATGGAGTAGTTATATGATGTTGAACTTGATAATAATTGCCTTTAAAGTCTCATATAAACAAATTTCCAACTGGTTAACATTCAAAACTATTTGCATTAGTTACGTGTAATAATTAAGCTTGTACATGAATTATATAATTAAATATAATTCTTATGTTATATTTATTTTTCCGCCGTCTGTATCTATAAGTTGTTTTACTTTTTTATTTTTCGTTTCGTTAACAATGATCAAATAGTACATACTTATTAAAATATGTTTTTCTTTTATTCTATTCAAATTTAACAAATTCATGCTTCCTAAAGTTCAAATTGGTCTGATTTTTTATACATAGAGATCACAAACAAACTTGAACAAACAATTTGTATAAACATATCTTAATGTTAACGAGAAATTGTTCAATTGGATTTGAATATATATATATAATCTTTGTTTACATATATTTTAAATTTTAAATTTAAATTTAAATTATTAAAATATCAAATTTCTATAATTGTAATTTTTTATTATTTGTTGATATTGAAGAAAATTAAATGTATCTAAAATTATATACAAAATCACAATTTGTTATTGAACTTAGAAAAAAAAAGTCATTAATATGTAATGTATCTTAAATGTGGTCATAAATAACAAAGTTAATCTAAACAACAAATAACCTAATATAAGAAAAATATACAAATGAAATAAATAATCTTCAAATAATGGAATTTATAAATGTTTCTAGATTAATTACTAAGATAGTCTACGAATATATTTTAACATTGATTATATTATATTTTCTGTACTTTAACTTTATAAAGATAATATGTTTTATTTTTCAAATACAAAAAGTGAGTATAAACAAATTTAGTTGTCCTTTATTATCCTGTTAATCATCCAAATCAACTTAACATTTTTTTTATATACTTTATGTAAGACCTCTATAATTATAATAATTAGGAAAAATAATTAAATGAGGTGATAATTAATTATTTTAAAAATTTAAGAATTTATTATAAGATATGATGGTTTGTTATTATTTTTATTTAAAAGATTTTTGAAGAGATAAAGACAAAATGTAAGAAAAGATATATATATGATATTTGGTGGTTATTAAAAAGATTATATAAAATCTCATAGGTGTATTTAGGATTCTAAAGATGAAGGTGAACCTTATAAATATACATACTAAGCAAATAATTAAGTGTTATGCTTGGTGAGAACCTGACATAGAAAGAAATTTTGAAGATTTACGTTCAGGTAAGGAAACTAATATTTTATTTGCTATTTGTATATGTTTCAAAGTTAAGAACCATAATATTTTGGGTTTCATATGACTATTTTAAATGAAATTGTATAATTATGTGGGTGCTTGAGTTTAAAAGGGAGTTTTGTGAAAAGGATGTTTTTTTAAATTATAAATGTACATTTGCATTTTGTTTCATCATAATCTGAGAGACAAGTAAGAATAATGTATTCCACTTTTAATCGAAAATGCTACCTTTTGAAAGCATTTTATTTCACCATTGTCAAATAGGCTATCTAGTAAAAACGTTTTATTCCACAATATAAAACTTAGAAAAGTTAAAATTTGGGTTGTTACTTTATAAAAGATTTTATTAACAACTTTTTTTTTATTTACAAATAATTTGAGCCAACAAATACTTTTAAATACTTCAATCATTAGATAAGTTATTTTCATTTTATTTCAAAATTTCCTACTATAAACTGAAAAATTAAAGAAACACATAAAACTTATATAAAAGGTATAACTTATTCAACTTTAATTATTCTTCAATTAATAAATTATTGATCATACGAAATTTTTAAACCATCTTCTCCATCTAAATCCTTGATCATACGAAAGAAAAATCTCAAAAAGGGTGATTGTATGATGAGCAACAAGAGTACCACCAATGTGTCATTCACATGTTTTCTTACCATATTCCTCCTCAATTTTCCTAACAAATGCGATTATATGATGAACCTGATCACCGATAACGTGTCATGCACACATAATAAATATATAGTTCAATTATTACAAGAACATTTTTCCTAAGATGTTTTGGTTAATGTCTGCATGTAGAATATTTATGCACGTGATGTCACACTACATTGTTAAACCACGTACGATACCTATATATAAGGATGCAAGAAAGTTTATGATACTTTTAAAGTTGGCATAGAATGTGGTCATTCAGCCACCTGTATCTATATATGTAACAGAAATTAATTGCTTCCACACTGCAAGCGGAAGTTAAGCAACAGAACTCAAAACAATCTAGAAGAAAAAACAAACAAATAAACACGTTTTTCTTCAAACTAAACCGAAACGCTTCTTCCTCCAGATATTTCCTTCTGTTTTTTCTTAGTACACATGACATATGCGAACATAATGACCCTTCTTTTCTTTTTATCAGCATTAATCAGCATTTACTGCAAGGCATAGAAATATACATTTTTGCTATTATAAGCAGCATATAAATACAACACACATATGCACCGCTTCACGACATTGTGATATAAAGTATAGAATTTTGAGAGGGATTTCACAGTTGTAATCACAAACAATACTCGGTCAGATCATTATAAATTCATTGCAGTTCGTCTCCTGATATTATTAGGGACACAGGGAAATCATAGATCAAGAGGATTTTCAAAGCTGTGTCTCTGAAAGTTGAAGGTGGACATGGATCATCAAGAGATAGCAGACATAGAGTCTCAAAATGTGGATACCCCCCCTGACGTATCACACAAAGTAAAACGTCAAGTAACTCTTAAGGTATGCATGCATCTCAAAATGTCCTTCTAGTTTTCCCTATAATGAAGTTCTTCCCTGGTTTACACATTTCAACAAGTGCTTGCATATATTTTACATGTTTCTGTCATAATGAGTCGTTCCTATATGTATTCACAACCCTGTTGATTATTGGTCTTTTTCATGGCTTCTGATTCTGGATTGTAGTGTTTCCGAAAGAGAAAAACACGTGCACAAGCACATGGCATACTTTTTTCTTC